AGGGTAGACCGGCGCACACATTCACAATGGCCACTAAAATTCGGCCGTTAAGAATCCTTTAAGGGGCATCGGGACCGGAAGTGAAAGTTTTCCATAGTCAGTCAGTCTGTTACTCAGCCATTTACTGCATTTTTATGTGAGCGGAGGTGGAGGAAGGAGATGGCGAGGACCGACATATGGAGATTGGCCCTTGCCATTGATGGTTTATGTAAGAGCCGGTTGTGTGGCCGAGAATCCGGATCGTTATAGTTATGTATGGGATGTAAAATGAACAGACGACATGGGAACTCTCCTCAAGATGGGCCACAGTCCGTAATGAAATGAAGTGTATAACATTTTATTTTACGAGTGCGTATTCAGTTTGCTGAAATATAATGAATACCATTTGATGGCACAATAAAACTATTGATTTTAAGGCGATTTAGCATTTAGATTAAGTTTTCAGTAACGGATATAAATAAATGCTTAAGAACTACCCAAGTTAAGATGAAAATCCTGCGTTTTGTGCTTCTTGTTTAATTAATTATTATTATTAAACTTCAATTAAGCTAATGGAAAGGGTAACTTAGGCCAAGCTATACAGCTTTATCGATCCGTGAAAGAGTTCTTCCTTTAAAGCAATTGTCCTGTTTAATTTTCCCTTAAAAACCCTCGCTATTTTCGTAATCCCATTACTTCTCGCCCGTGTTAATGGGATACGAATTAAATTTAATATAAAATTCATTTGGCCAAATCAAGGAGACCGAGACAAAGCGATTGCTTGTTACACTTTTCGGACTGGCCGAGTCGAGCACTTTCAATAATTGCCACTTTGGCGCCCATTAAAGCCAACTTATGCCCACGATTGACTGCTGCAACAGCCGAGGCCTATCCCCCGGCCCTCTTCTCGAGTCCCTTTTCTACGACTCTCTTTCTGGCCAGCTCCACCTAGAACGCATAATCATTATCGTTACAGTTTATTGCACATTAAAACTGCGCCGCTGTCGCCCTTTACTTTTATGCCACCGTCGCTGGGCCAAACACTTGGCATTACATAAAGCAAATGGCCATAAAACGGAACTGAGAACATGGCCGAGACGAAGGGAAGAAGAGAACGAACTCGAACGAGTCTTGACCGACTCGTAATTGTCACCCTCAGCGCCTTTTGTTGGAATTTACACATGAATAGTTGCCGGACCTCCTGCCAGTGGGAATTTAATTTAATTGCGCCTGAAATTTGCTTCCATCTCGAGCACCCTCTCTCTCCGCGAATCGTTCGCCTCAATTGTATTTGAAATTTTTATTTGATTTTTATTTAATTTTTAAGTACTCCCCAGGCGGGTCCCAAGTGTATGCAATTAGCGGAGGAGTCCCGAATATCTCTCAATCTCAATATGATTTGCAGTTGGCCAAAATTTACGATTGAATGAAGCTGAACCCTTCGCTTAAGCTTAAGCCCGACTAAAAAGCAAATCCAATAAAACGGGGTTAGAGCTGTCACGCTTATTTTATTTGATAGCCCCATGATTTTAGCAAATTATGCAAATGTTTGCACTTATTTGAAACAACATTTTTGTTACTCATATTGAGTCGCCGCACTCGCTCTCAATTCCCTCGGTTGCTGGCAAATATTGACAAGAGTTTTATTTAAATTTGGCTGCCAATTCCTTGGCAGGAGTTTCCGGCAATGTCACTGCGCTCCTTCCCCTGCTGCCACGTTCTGCGCATATTTTTGCGAAATCAGCAAATGTTGCCGTTGTCAACTGACTTGGCCCCTGCCATGTCTCGATTCGCAGATTCTATTTTTTCTGCCTGCCGTCTTCGCTTCCGTCGACAGTCGTCGAAGGAGCAGTGGGTAGTGAAGCAAATGCCACTAATATGAAAGCAAATTTGCATAATAATTTTTGCCAGATTCTTTTGCTAGCTCTCTGCCGTCATATTTAAGTTGAAATTCCTTTAGTTTGGCTTTCGAATATCACGATTTGGTTACTCTTTAATGCTTGTTTATTTTCACAGCGGTCAAAGCACTTGCCACTGCCACTGCCACTGCTAATTATATTAATTGAATTTAATGGCATTTAATGAGAAAATTAATTAAACTGCTTTATTTATTGCGTCACATTAAACGGATATATTTTTTTCTAGCTTCTGACAAAGAGAGCGGTTTGTTTTTTTTGCGGAATTTGGCCTGTGGCTTTGGTTAATATGACAACTACTATTGGACAAAAAAAACGAGGTTTTTTCTTCTATTCATAAAGCGTGTGTAATTAAAGAGCCAGCTGGGTCCGATTATTCATTAATAAATTGCATTAATCTTAAAGCTTAAAGCAAATATATGAAATATTTCATAATGAAAGTAAACTATTGAGCTTGAGCTCAATTGTTGGTACAATAAAATAAATAATCCAAAGTTAAAGTTCATTTATCTGCACACCTTACGCCTGTTTGCCCCCCTTGGCAATAAAAATAATTGGCTATAAATGCGCCAAGAGTCAAAACAAGAAGGCCAATTGTCAAGGAGCCAAGGAGAGTGCCACGAGTGGCTGGCAAAATGGAGACCCGGGAAGGAATAAGAAATCAACACATTGCTTTTAATTAATGGAAGCTGCAGAGCACACACAACATACACCACTTCCCAGTGGCAATGGCAGTTACCGTGGCGTTTTTATGACTTTCCGCCTGGCATCTGGGAATGCCATCAAATCGGAGCGAAACTGGGGTGAGAAAGTCACCTTGTCGCTTGTCAGTTTCAAGTGCGTTGAGTTATAATTTTATGTGCAATTAATTTGCCACCACACAAGCACTCACACACACACACACACACACACACACTCGTTTAATGCGTTTCCTGGCTTGTACGTGGGGCCAACTAATGAGCCAACAGCTACTGTTTTGGCCTGTCTGGGCTAGAAATTTTTGTTTAGCCCGCAAAAGCAATTTTAATGGCCACCGTGTTTTGGCAATTAATGTTGATGGCTTTTTTATGGTTCAAAACGACATGGAAAAAAAAAACACAGCCGTTTTCCATGCATCCAGAATGCAATTCGTTCGATCAGTTTGCTTTATTCAAGCCGATAGCTGGAAAACAAATCAGCACAAGTGGACAAACGTGGCCGAAATTGCAAATTCCAGCACAAAACCACGCACAGCCTCTGGACATTTTGCGATTGATTTTTGTTGTGGCTGCGAAAAAAGGAAGGGCAAGGGGAGAACGAACTGCGTTTGGGCCCAGAGAAAATCTCTAATTAGCTAATTGCTATAATTAAATGTTTTGCCAATGTTGGCATTTCGTTTAACTCGGGCGCAAGGATAATGTAAATTCTGAGAGCTGCCCTCGCTGTGCCAGTGTGTGTGTGTGTGTGTGTGTGCGCTGTGTTGTCCTTCCGCTTTTGTGTTAGTATATGTGCAAGTGTGTGTGTTTGGGGCCGACGTCATCATCATTACCATCATTGGCATTGTTATTATTGCGGTTGCCCTCGTGCCTCGGCACTGGCTGTGCTCGCTCCGTAATGGCAAATCGAACATATTTGCATATGAAATGAGCGAAAAATCGAAACATGGCGGCAGCCAGGCCCGGGCCATGTGGAGCCCCAACAAAACAAAAAAAAAAGAAAAGGGAACCCAGCGATTTCCGGCTTAGGAGCCATCACATTTTAAACGAGTCTCCCCCGCTCCGACTTGGCCGATTATTATGCAGAATCGAAAGTCAGGCGGCAGCACAAACCATTTATAATCATCATAAATTATGCATTGCATTATCGCTGGAGAGTCGCGCAGCTTGCCTTTTTCCCCCCAGATGATTAGCAACTAATTCCGCGGAGCGGCCACGCGGCGTATGAGTAATATGCGCCGCCTGCAGTTGAGCTGTGAGTTGGGTTCGCAATTAAATCATCTCTTGCGGTCGGCCAGTGCATGGGGAACTCTCAACAAACTGTAATAACTTTGTTTGGGCCCCGTCAAAACGCTGAGCCTACGAAATGCAAATGAGTTAACAAGTGAATTTAAATGAGATACAAACAACGGAGGAATTCCGTGACGAGGGACCGCCTTTCGGCCAAACAGACAAAAAGGGCTAACAAACTTTTTCGGGAAAGGAAATTTTAAACAGGGAAATTAGACCGGCTCTCTGGCCCAATCTTATAAAATTTAAATTAAAATCAGACCAAACCCGGTTGGAAGAAGCCCCTGTCCCGAAATTAATGTCAACTTCAAACAGTAATCCCTCTCTGTCTCTCTTTCCCGTCTTGCGCTTTAAACAAAGCGGCAAAATATGAGCGGACAAAGCAACTGCGAATAATGAAAAGGCAAACGAATCTTAAGTGCAGGCCAAAAATAACACAAATAAATGCTGAGCAAAAGGGAAATTGTTAAGAGCAAAGACTCGGAAAATAAGCCAAGCCAAAGGACATAACTCAAAAACTGGCTGAGCAAAAGTAACACAAAAAGCGAAAAAAAAGGAAGGCAGCAAAATAAAAGAAAAGAAGAAGCCGGCGAAATGAGGAAGAACAATCCCCGCCGCCTTGAAAGCCGAACGAAATTAGCATAAAAAAAGGATTTGCTCGCTAATTTCACTTTAATGTGAGAGGGCAAAAGAAAAGGCGCAGGACAGCGATGAAGACGTCGCGTCCATTACGTCACTTTTATCTCGCCGCCTGCGCCCCCTCCAAGACGTCTTTTCGCCTTTATTTATAGCATTATTAGTTGGGCCAAGCGAAAGTTCGCAGCAAGCTCCCCGCTACTTGGCTTTTCGGGGGGTCCCTGGTCCCAATAACAAAGTGCTAATGCCCTCGGCTAATTATACATCATTTGTTAGCCACATTTTTTTGCAGTACAGCCTCTTCCCTGCACTCCCTTCTGCTCATTTTTTTGTCTTTCGTCTCGTGTTCTTTGAGCTCGAATATTTGGCCACCTTTTCTTGAAGCCTATTTGTGGAATTTAAGAAGATTTTCTACTATAACTATAAATATGGATAAAGCCTTATTTTCGACCCTATAAAGACTAAGTTTTTCCTTAATTTCTAGGTCCTCCCGTGCTATCCGAGTCCATAATGGGCACAGTCGGCCGACTGCCCTGCAACGTCACCCCGCCCATCTACGAGGATCGTGTGGCGTTGGTCATCTGGTACAAGGTCGGCCTAAAGACGCCCATTTACAGGTGAGTCCCGGCACGTTTTGGAAGAATTTTTAGGGAAGGGAAAGAGCTTTTCAATAACCTAAGTGCAGTGGCAGGGGGCCTCCCATCTGAATGACACATTTTCAGAGTCGCCTTAAATCTTTAAGCCGTCGTGTCAAATGCAGAGCCACAAGCCGCAGAGCAGAGCAAAGCGGAGCAGAGCTGAGCGATGCTGAACACCCACCTGACCGCAAACATTTCAACCGCACACACTCAGACAGACACGCACGGGTCCATAAATAAACAAAATTGATTACCGCAGACAACTTTTGACGCACTCAACCCGCTCGCCATCCGCCATCCACTCGCCAATCGCCACTCTCCACTCAGCCCGGCAACACAAACCAAACAGATGAGGCGGGAAATTGGATCGGATGCCGGAGACCTGCACATGTCAGTTACCGCATTCGAGGAGAGTTTTCATTCTGATTTAATGGCGGCTAATTAAGCCGATTTTTTCTCCGTTTGCAGTCTGGAGTCCGTCAGCCTGCAGACATGAAATTAGCATAACTAGAAAATTATACGCAGAGGAGCTGCCGAAAGTGGGCAAAGTTTCTCGGCGGTTCGCTCCAAGGTTACATTCGGCAGCAAAAACTTTTTCAATTATTCATGTCTAACATTATGTCGTAGTGGTGGCAGCTAGTACCGAGTATCTTGTATCTACCAGATACACGTCTACATCAAAGGCGTGAAACTTTAATTGGATTCGTCTGACTGGGATGTGTGTGTGTGTGTATGTGGTGATTAGCTGATTGCTAGGCAGCCTTCCAACCAGCCAGGCAGCCATCCTGCCAGCTAGCCATTGACATGCGGCCAAAACTAATTGAACTTCGGGCACTTCAAGGACTTGGAAATGACTCGAGCGAAAGTAGTAATTAGCGTTGCATAACGACCGGCAGAACCAAGCTCGAACTGAGCTCAACTCTTGTTTGTAATTAAAAACCACTCAGCAAGTAAATTAATCATAAAAGAAAGCGCTGCCCAGACGCTGGACCAGGCCACGCCCGCTGGTAAAAATTTAATTTTCGCCAAGCATTGGCAGCGCTCGATTCTGGTCCTTTTCGACATTGACTTTTTATTGCCCGGCTGACATACGAGCTCCGGCCACGTCAGGTCCTTCTGCAGAACCTCATTATCCGTTCGAGAGCGCCATATGTTCGAAGCAAATCAAAATCGAAATGCAATAAAACACAGGCTTTGCAATCCGAGCAGTTGTCGAGGGCGAAGGATATATAGAGATGCAGGGGAATTTATGGCGCTTTCCTGGCTGGCGAAAATATGTACTCTTCATGCCAAACAAACGGCCGGCCGCTTGTCGATCTAATTTAGGTGAGATTTTCCAGCAATTTGAATGCCAATTGAGTTGGCAACTCGAAGCAAGGCCCTGGGGCCAGGCACTAAATGATTAATTCATAAGTTGTAGCATATCAGTGGGCGAGTAGGCACTCAAATCGGGCTCCGAACTTCGATGCTCCGGGCGGGGATTACTTTCTGGATCTCAATTAAAAACGCTTTCGGCCGCTTTAAGGCTTGCCAAAATAGAATATTACGCCGAAGCGTGCATAATTAACTATGTGTTGCCAGCCAAGAATGCCGGGCGGAGTGCTTTAAGCCCAATTAACTTCGCCACTCGGCTAAATGTTGACCCAAATCGGGTATCACAGCGAACACTCCTCTCCCTCCACTTCTCAGCTGGCTTGAAACTTTTTAAACCCAATGCTGGCCCGAAGTTGGAGCAGTGCGGTGGCATGGACACTTTAAGACCATTGATTGACCACCAAAATGAGCTCATTACGGCCAGTAACGGCAGAACGGAATAATCAATAATTGGGAATTTCAAGCGAAAACAATAAATTACAGTGTGGGGGGAGGGGGCGGTGTGTATTATTAATTCATTGCAGAACCCAATTACTCCGGCGGCGATAATAAAAAACTTCAACATGGCGTGAGAAAGTAATGGCAGTGGTGGGGCGACTTTTGTTTTCCTTTTGGCTCAGGCTGATACACAGGAATTCTTTTAATTTTTCCCAGGCCCACACTGAGGGAAATACAAGATAATATAAATATTTGACAATTAATTAAAATAGGTACATTTTTTAATTAAATTTATAAGGCTAAAAGTGTCTTAGTTTGGGACATTTTACACATCTAAAAGGACTATAAATATTATAATAAGAATATATATAAATCAATAGATAAAAACCCTATTTCAGGTAATTATTTTTCCTAGTGCACTTCTGATTATCGCTTCCTTTTTCCCCCCGTTTCAGTGTGGATACACGCGACTCCAACTTCGCCCAGGGCACGCACTGGTCGGATGAGACCTATCGGGAGCGGCTCTCCTTCTACGTGGAGGGACGTGCCGGCACGCTGACCATCAAGTCAACCACCGAGGACGACACGGGCGAGTATCGCTGCCGCGTCGACTTCCAGAAGAGTCCGACGCGTAACTCCAAAGTGAATTTAACTGTCATAAGTAAGTACGGGCATCAAGCCACTCGACTTGCTCGCCATTCTGTTTGCTCACGATGTGCGGGGCAGCATAATTGAGCAGCTAATTTGTGCGGCAACATATCCTGGCCGGGTGGTGTCCTCAAGCCTCTCCTCAACTCCATTCTTCTGCGTTCCGGTCCAACCACGCCACTCAGCTCTTGGACAAACACATTAGTTACAGAATAAGACGCCAACTATATGTTCGGGTTGCCAACTTTTCCCTTATTTTAACCCACTGCCCCCACCCGGGTTGCAGTCCTGCACTTGGCAAACAGATTTTAAAGTGCCAACTTGGCCAGAAGTTTAAACTTGGCTGGTTAAAGCTGCTCGAGGAGAAAGCCCCAGTGGGGCGACGGGTGGCGACGAGGGCAAAGCGCAACTTTTGAATTGAATTCCTCGCCTCTTAAATGGATCTCAGATTGGAATTGGGCAAGAGTATGCGCTGAAACGGTTAGGATTTTTCCAGGGCAAGGATTTGAATCGATAGAAGTTGAAATTGAGAAAGGATTTGCAGCATTCCGAAAATTCTGTAATCTTAAATCATGTTTTTAGTAAGGCAAAGGATTTACAAGTGGAAGTCTTTGAAAAATAAAGATATATTATTTTTATAGAGAATGAGCTAAAGTACTATACTCGTATCAGATTTCTTAAATATAGTTCTGGTTAGTTTTTACTTATTCATTTAAGATTGATTAGAAAGAACTTTGAAAATTCAAACGTACATTGCAAATAAGAAACACTTTTTTAAAGGTTTTTCAACTCCATTTTCCTCTCATGATTTTCCAGAACTGAAAGCGTATTTCCACTTCCATTTTACCCTCTTCCAAATGGAATTGAAGTCCTGTTTTTTAAGCTTAACCTCCGCGAGGAGGATACCTGGGCATTGAGGCGGCCACAGCTTGCAATTTACCATTAAAATTTATATGCGTTTCCAGCGGCGTTTAGCTGAAATATATGGCCAGCAGAGTTGGCCTGGCCAAATATTGTTGGTAAATAGTTGCTGCCGACGCCCGAAGTCGTCGTCGCAGTCTCTGCCGGCGTCGCAGTTGCCAGATGAAGCACGGAAGGCGGCGGAGGGGCGTGGCTGTGTTTTACAAACTTCTTGAGCATGTTCAACATGCTGCCGCTGTGTGTGCGTGTGTTTGTCTGTGACATGTGAAGCGTAAAACCAAGGCAGGATTTAGAACTTTGTACGTCGGTCGGGAAATGACAAAGGGAAAAAAGAACAGAGGGAAAAACTTTAAAGAAGATATTAGATTGAAAGTTGCCCCAGTTCGGGGTGGACAGTTTGGACAACTTGCTGCTGCTCTGCTAATGCGCCGGGGTGCTGCTGGGGTGGAGCAGAGCAGAGCAGGAAATTCCCAAGACTTGATCAGGCCAAGCAAATTTGCCAGCAAAGCGATGATAATCGGGTTCGGGTTCCGGCTCCAAATAGTTGGCCAAGCGCCCACCCCGAAATAACCAATAATAATAAGGAAGAACCCTGGGAGAATGGAAAATAGGAAACAGAGTAAAGCAGTCAAAACAAGAAAAGGTGTCTAAGCTAAAGAGAAATAAATGGATGGATTATTTACAAGAGAAGCTTAAATTGTGATAATATTGTAGAGCGAATTGACTATAACTGAACTAGCTAAAGAAGAGGTTAGTTCGAGTGAATAAATAAATACATTTTTAAGTCAAAGAATAAAACAAGTAATCTTATTTCAATTTATTTCCTATAAATAAAATTGATATAAATGCTTTTTATACCTTCTTTCTCCACAAATACGAGATATACAAGTAATACTTTGCTGAACTTTGACTGCATCTGGAGCAGGACAGGGTTTATTTTTTTCCCTCGTTTTTTTCTTTCCTGAAGTGGCAACAGCATAAGCAGCTCTTTAAGGCAGCGACAGCCAAGCTCTTAAGGAGCTTGCTGGCCAAGTATTGAGCTGACAGGAGGAAGACCGGCTAGGTGTCATCGATTTGACACTGCAGAAACGGCATTTTAACAAGCTCAAAGTCTATGATTTCCATTTTCAAAACTCAATTCTTATGAACTGTGTTGTACCTTACTCTCCTTGCAGTTCCGCCCGAATCCGTGATTATATTGGACAGCAAGGGGGCCACCATCAAGGATCACACACTGGGGCCCTACAACGAGGGCTCCGGCATCAACATCACGTGCGTGGCCATCGGCGGTAAGTCCCAGATATATGTATGTTTGTATATAAAGTACTGAGGGTTTTGCGGGTTTGTGTACTTGGGCGAGAGACGGAGAGTGTGTGTTGATGCTGGCTGCCGCTTGTGTCTGACAATTAAAAGTGATGAGCGTGAAAATGCAGGCGAAAGATTTTCACATTTTATTTAATTTCCACCCGCCTGTCTGCTGCACGAACCCGAACTCGAGCTGGAGCCAACGTGCAGACAATCGAGGAGCTCTGCCACACACAATGCCCACACAAATTGCATTGAGAGCACTTGAAAATTGCTAAAAGCCAAACAAGACAACAAATGAAACAGCGAAAGGCACTTGTACACACACGCAGCCAGCCACACACCGCACACATTCCGTCCCAGAGCCCGCACCCACCAGGAGGGGACACTCATCCACTCCTTGCACTTGTGAGCACATAAACAAACAGGGGGACCGGCTAAAGCGCTGCCGGCTAAACGCCAGAGACAACTCCGAGTCTAAGCCGTTTGGCAAACATATCAGTTGCACACACACGTCCCCGATAATTCTTTTTCTTGCCCTTACCAATCCGCCCTCCACCTCGTCCTCTCACTTGCAGGTCGCCCGCAGCCAAGGGTCACCTGGCTGCACGGGAACACCGTCTACAAGGACGCCAGCGTGGGCCAACCCCTCTCCGAGCGCCGTGTGGCCAATGTGCTGTCCCTGCCTCGGCTGGAGCGTCGGAATCTCCACATGCAGCTAACGTGCCGGGCGGAGAACAATAATTTGACAACGCCAATTATCAGCAGCGTCGTCCTCGACATGAACCGTGAGTACCCCGGCCCGAGAAGCCATCATCCCCGAGTCCGTGTCTGGGCCTAACTAATTAATTCTATTGCTTTCACCCCCCTCCTTCGACAACCCGCTGCAGTGCGTCCTTTGATTGTCAAGCTGCAGGGGGAGAATCGACCACTGTCGGCGGGGAATTCTTATCAGCTCAGCTGCGTTGTCATCGGAGCACGTCCAGCGCCGACGATTACCTGGTGGAAGGGCAGTACCCCCATGAAGAATACTCATGAGATTGTAAGTGGAAGCATGGCGAAACAGAGGCCAAGCTCGACTAGAGAGTGTCCTTTGTGGTCTTGGATAAGGGTGGCCTCATCAAGAGAAAAGGATTCTGCAAATTAAAGAATATATTCCCTTAAGCCTGGCTTAATTTTGTTTCCAAAAAAAGATTTCTTTAAAGGAAAGTAAATGTTTCTTAAAGAGTTTGGATAAGAACGAGAACGTTAAATTATAATATTTTCTATCTTAATTATAATCAATGTAAATCAGAACCACTTAGCCAATCTTTACCATTCAAAACTTTATTAAATATCTTGAATTAAATACTAAAGTATATACCCCACAGTATATACCCTACCCGTGAGAGTAACTTCCTTGCAGACCCATTGCTACCCCGCTCGAAATGTTTATAAACATGCAAATTTCAAATGCCTGTCATCCTTGTTAATGGCCGCTCTGGAGTACAATTTCTACTCCCCCCATTTCCCAGTGGCAGCCGTACACATGCTTTGCGGTAATTGAAGTTGCTCGAACGGTAGTCACGTAGCGAGGGCCTCAATTAAAAGCCACCCCTATCTGGGCCGCAGGACGTGCGGGCCAACGCCAACCCTTTCCGATTCCTTTGTCTTGGCCAACTTGGGCTCAGCCATTAACTTGCTGCTCTCCTTCTCGTCTCGTTATCCAGGCGAATCCGGACGGGAATATGACCACCTCGGTGCTGACATTCACGCCAACCATCGATGACCGCGGCAAGTTCCTGTCCTGCCGCGCCGAGCAGAGCATGATACCCGAGTCTGGCATGGAGGATGGCTGGAAATTGGACATCTATCGTGAGTACAGACCCGCTTAATATTTAATTCGGCCTGCCAAAGTTTTTAATGAAAACGAAAGCACCAAGGCATGGCTTTAAGAACTGTGTAAGGAATCGCTGCACTGGGAGGATCCTGCACCTCCTCGACTCGACTCCCAGCAGCTCCATATTTTTCTTCGATTCTCCTCAGCTGCGGCAAGTTTTGGCAAATTAATTTCCAGCGGCGGCCGGTGAAAACTTTTGCACAAAAACTTGCGAAACTTTTTAACCCGCCACAAGCACCGCAAGCAGAGCCGCCACCGACGCCGGCGCCGCTCGCAAAGTCATCTTTACGCTTTTACAGTTTTCGACCTGTTTGCACAAAATTTAAATGGTAAAACCACGAGGAGGGAGGAGAGATGGGCCCCCTCCCGAAGCCCGGACCGCTTCCTGTTTGCCTTGGGAGTGCGGTCTTGTTGCTTACCTTTTAACTTTTCCCCTTTTTTGTTCCGCCCAACGGCGCCAGGCAATTCGATTGAAATATCTGGCTCTGGTTGAGTCGCCGCGAAGGGAAGGAGGAGCACGGACCAGGGCAGGGGCACTGTTTGCCCAATTTGATAGATTGCTTAATAAGCTTAATTGATTCGCATTCGCGAACCAATTTTGAATTAATCAAGTTAAAATTTTACCCAGTTACCAGTACCTTTTTCTCCGCCGGAACAACATTTCCAGGGCCTAATTGGGGCGAAAAAAAATATAATAATAAACAAACAAGCAGCTGGCACAGAAGGAGCAACAACTTAAATTGCCTAATTTGTGCGGCTTACACAGTAATTACACCTTTGGCCGGTGCTCAGGCATTTTATTTGCCTGCCAGCCAGCTTTATTATTTGTCTGGCAGCCGATTTAAAGTAATTAGCCTGCTCCAGGAGCCATGGCAGCAAAGCCCCATACTATATATATACATATATCTGATTTCGTTCACAGATATACCGGTGGTGAGTCTGGAGCTGGGAACCAATTCCCTTAACTCGACGTTGCGCGAGGGCATCGATGTGTTCTTCGAGTGCAACATAAAATCGAATCCGTGGATATACAAAGTTAGCTGGCGGCACAATGTAAGTGACAGACAGATGCCGTTTTACACAAGTTACCTCTGGTTGGGAGAGGGCTCTTAACAGCCCAGTGCCCCCATCCCCGACTGGCTAATTTATATACCACCCTCACTTGACTTGGGGCACTTTCAAAAGGAGCAAGAACTGCTTACATGGGCTGTATGTGTGGCGGCGTTATTATTATTATTATTATTTTCATTATACGCCATACATACATTACCCTGCGGCAGCGAATCCGGCCGAGATGGAGCGCATAATTGCTGCATATTTTAGGGCTGCCAAAGGGCCAAAAAATGGAGTTCTCAACGCTCACACACACACACACGCACACATAGATCGCACAATTTATTATTGAATTACCCGGCAGTGGGAGAGCACTTAACAATTTATGCAGGCCCGGCCTAATTTATGCAGCCACCGGGGCTTCAATCAGCCGCCCCTTTGGCCTGCGGGGCGTATGCGCAATGTAACGCAACATAAAAGTGTTATTAGCTGCGAGAAATTAAATTTATTTCAATTTAGCAGTTATCGGTAAATTGAATTCGATTCAATAAATTATTATGCCGCACAAGCAGCCCGAATTTGCGAAGCCTTTTCAATTTGCGTTCACTTTCCGCCCTCTGACTTCTGCCTTCTCCTTTCGATTTCAGGGCGAAATTCTGGCCAACAATCCCGCCGAGGGCATCGCCGTGTCCAACCAGAGTCTGGTGCTGCAGAACGCCAGCCGGGCGAGGAGCGGCATCTACACCTGTGTGGGCAGCAACCGGGAGGGCGACGGTGAGAGCAATCCCGTCCAGCTGGACATACGATGTGAGTAACGAAGGCTGCACAGAGTGTTAATTTACATAACAGCTTAATTAAAACGAATTGGATCTTTCGATTGCAATTTGTAACTAACACGTTACACAATGCAATTACAAGAGGACTCAGCAGGACGACTTATCCTGCCTGCTGCCAGGGACAAATTGAGTTTTTCCCGTAAATCAGACAAATAAATCAATTAAACAGCAGCAGCAGCAGCAGCAGCAAGTCGGCCACAAACGAGGCAACAATGCCGGAGCATTTTCTTTAAATGTTTAATGTTCGAGTGCTGACAGATCTGGCTGCAGGCCAATGGCAGCTAAAGTGGGAATCGAACCCAAGTTGGCCAATGTTTTCCTTTAATTATGCAGATGTCGTCTTGGCCATTCAACCCGACTTCAATCTCATTCTCTTTGTATCCTTGCAGTTGCGCCCGTGTGCCGACCTATTCAAAAGACCACTTACAGCTCGGGCAGGCATGAAACCGTTAAGGTAGCCTGTGAAATTGATGCCAATCCCGCGGAGACCACCTTCGTCTGGAAATTCAATGCAACGCAGGGCGAAACGGTGGACATACCTGCCTCGCAGGTGGCCGTGGATCGGGGCCGCAGTATTGCCCACTACACACCGATGACGGAGAATGTAAGTGCGCCTTCCCCAACCCCCTGCTATTACCAATCCGAACCCAGATCCCTATTCGTAATCATTTCCATTTCCATTCCCTTGCCGGGACTCCTGGAGGTCAAATAAATCAGTCCCCGGCACGCCCTTGAGGGCCGGCACATAATTTTCCAAACGAGTTGCGGTTTTGAATTTTCAATTAAGGTTGAAAAGGTGTGTCGCCATCGGCGTCGCCATCGCCGCAGTGCATGCATAAATTAAGCCAACGAAATGCATTGTCACTCAGTCCGCACCACCCACAGACTCGGTTTGGTATACAGACCCTTTACAACCCCCCATACGCCCCTCTACACACATCCCTTTACTCACGCCCTCACTCATCCTCTCATGTGTGTGTTTGCGATTTCTTCTTTGCATTGCCAGGACTACGGAACGCTGCTCTGCTGGGCCACCAACGAAATTGGCGATCAAAGTGAACCCTGCGTATACACAATAACCCCGTCAGGTGAGTACTATCGCTGGGGAGAAGGGGGAGAGGACGAAGGTGGTTCTCGATTCACCTGTCATTGGGGCTATGTGGAGCCATTGCCCTGCGGCTCGCGTGCCTGCAGCTTGGGTTTCATTTCAGGGATTGCAGGGCATGCGAGGTTTATTCGGGACATATAAGAAAATTATTATTTTACCAGTATAAATCGAAAGGTTTTATAAGTCAGGTTAGAAGATAATCATAGTTTAAGTTCGTATTCAATAACCAAAGAAATTTATTCACAAATTTTCAGTTTATTGAAAGTTGTCCACTATTTCTAATTTGAAAGATATGCTTATATTTGTCTTTATAAAATCTATAGCATAAATTGCTATATTTTCCATCTTGCTTTTAATTAAATAACCATTTCCACGACTCACAATAGAATTTATCGCTCAGAAGCATGCTCTTGGTTAGCCACACGGTATTTGGAACTCCGTGAGTCGGATTTTCAGCCGTGGGAACAAACTCTGGCTTTCAGTGCGCTTTGTTTATGTTTTGTTTTGGGTTTTGCAAAGTCCTGCTGTGCCGATGACTTTGGCACTTTGGCGCTTGGCTCCGCTGGCTGCCGCCTGCTGGCTGATGGCTGCCGGATTAGTCAAACCGAAGCCGCCAGTTGGCTTATTGATTTTGAAGCCACCTCGGGAAATATGTACACGCAAAGCTGCAGACAAATGCTACGAGTCCGTGGCATTTGTAGCTTGATCTGCCTCTGAGCCGGAATAATAAATATCCTTTGGTTTTTTTTTGTTTCTGTGTTCCCTCTGTTTTCGGTGGGATTCCAGGCGAGCCGGATCCGCTGCTGAACTGCACGGTGCTCAACCAGACATCGACGGGCTTCCAAATCGAATGCATCGAGGGCTTTGACGGCGGCCTGCAGCAGGACTTTATAATGGAGGTTTACATGAATGGAACGACACGCAATCCCAAAATTTCCAAATCAAAGTGAGTACGAAGTCGGCGTTGCAGGCAAGACAGGAGCAGTAGCAGGAGCAGGAACAGGAGCGGAATGGACACAGAGCAATCAGAATCACACGCCATGTGACTTCTGCATTACAACAAGCCCAACGAGGCGTGGCATCGGGCAGAACGCATGGCCATGGCGATGTCCACATCCAGTGGCACAGCCACATCCACATGCATATTCTCTCGGCCTCATCCAGCTCTAGTTGCTCCTCCTTCTGAGCACTGCTCTGCGCTTGGCGAAACCCATTTGTTCGGCTCTTTGGACTTCCCTTTTTTGCGGTTCTGCCGCTCTTGATTTGGACATTCAGATATCGATTCAACTCCGTTGCAGGCGACCATACTTTGAGGTGAGCGGCCTGGTGCCAGGACTGGGCTACAATGTCTTCCTCATCGCCCAGAACGGCAAGGGCCGTAGCAACGCCACCATTTTGCAGGTCTACACGCTGAAGGATCCGGAGAAGCAGACGGGTGAGTTTAATCACAGGGGAGGGCCCAAAAATGAATCCTGATGCGGGCTGCGTGTCTCTCGCTCTCTCTCTATCTTTCCTGCCTTTCTCCTGCACTTACAGCTGCTTCATTTGTCTTTTAATTTGCTTTAAGTTCTGCTAACATGGTTTTCTTTCCTTCTCGGTTCCTCCGGCCGCCTTATTTCGATTGCACGCTTTCCTTTTAGTTAAAATAACATTCACTAAGTCCTATCAGAGATTCAGGCCGGCCTTGCCCAAGCCCAAGGCGACGGCCACCACGACAAGCGACTGCATTTGTGATGAGGATGAGTTTCTGAACCTGGGCAAGGGGATAAGCCACGACGAGGGCAAGGACGTTGTCCAGCAAGAAGGTAGCGGTGGATACTATTTTCATTTAATTTTCTATTGATTAACTAACTCTTAGTTGTTTGTTGTTAACCCTTGATTTGGTATGTTTTGTTATTTAATTATGTGTTATTATTTGTTTAACTTTTAAATTGCTTCCGTTTTGATTTATATTTAGGTTAAGTTCCTTTTGTAATAACCAATAATGTTACAATTATTTTTCTTTTTGTTGTACATTTTTAGCTATTTATGTTTCTTTTTTTAGTGCTTTTATTTTATTATTATTTTAGTTGTGACTAATTTTATTAATTACTGTTTTGTTTTCTTGTCTTTAAATAAATTTCACTTTACATTTTCACCCCAAACACTGCACACAAATAAATCCGGCTGCCGAATGGTTTTATTTTCCTTTCTTTCTTTTATTTTATTTTGCTTTGGGGGCTCTAAAAATTCCTGGCATGCCGACAAGGACTGGGACAAAAATTAGCAAGCCCAGCGAGGGGGAATGTGGGGATGTAAGGGACAACAAGGCGGATTACAACGCGCAGATATGCACAACTAGACCCACATACATGCACCCGCACCCACACACATGCAGCTCATTAAGGCGGCACTAAATTCAAGGCACGTGCGCCAGGACCTGCCACCGACAACAATAACAACCAAAGGACGCAGACTGGACCAAGAGCGGAACGTAGTTAGCAGCTCATAAAACAATGCAGGCTCAGGGAAAGAAGGAGAGGGAGACTAAGAGAGAGAGATAGAGAGAGAAAGAGTGCACACTTCGAGAAAATGTTGTTTTATATTCTCATAGAAAGTTCTTCATAATCCCATAAAACTGTAATAAAAATGTAAATTAAAATCAATTAATCATGTCCTTGAAGTTGTACAGAGTTCTCTAAGCGTTTAAGGTCATTTGTAAAGTTTAAAACAATCAAATAATGTATACAATTAGGTTCGCAAATGACTCCTTTACTGTGTACTAAGCTTCTGACCACATTATAATACCCCACAAAATATATTAAACTTATCAAGAGTCTCTAAGAATTCCAGAGAATTTTAAAGACATTTTTCTTTGTGCATAAGGAATATGTAAATGCCACAGCACATGCTTATCCCCCAATCCTTGGTCTCTTTCCGGCTGCCTTTATTTTTTACTCTCTTACGCCGCTCTCTCGCAGACCTCTCCCTGGCCTATGCGCCCGTCATCGAGGACATCCGGCCATTCCTCGGCATTCTGGCCGGCATCGTGGGCAGCGTTTTCCTGGTGGCCCTCATCATTGTGATTGTGGTGCGTGTGCGCGGCTCCTCGGGGCGCGATCGCAATAATTACTCGCATCCGGGCAGCGGCGTCGTCGGCGTGTCCGGCGCCACCGGCACCGGCTCCGGGTGCGGCGGGGGTGGCGGCGTGGGCGGCACCACGGCCAATGGCAACGGCAGTCTGGGCCTGCTGGCCAGCAATAACAATGGCAGCCTGGTCATTGGCACACTGGGCCACAATGGCGGGCAATCAGTGCAGGACATGCATCGCATCGGCCGGGAGACGTGCCATGTGACGAGCAGTCTGGATAGCATCGACAAGAACCCGGACATCATACCGCAAGGTGGGTTGGGTGAGTTTCCACAGGTGGCCCAGATTGTCACCTCTTGCCATCATGATCCCTTCCTAATCCCCTGCACTCACTCCTCTGCTTGCAGATGGCCACGACGTGGACGATGAGTGGACGACGAAGGGTCATGGCCGGGCCTACGCCACAGCGGCGCTGGCCGAGCAGAATGCCGTGATTAACTCCGGCACCTATGATCACCTGATGCCCACGTACGCCGTGGTGGACAAGAAGACGGGCCCGCCCCCGGGCCACGGTCCCTACATCCAGTACAACACGCTTATCCCCGTTAGCAAAATGGGCGCTTACGCCAATCAACAGCAGCAGCAGCAGCAGCTCCATCATCAGCAGCAGCAGCCGCAGGCGCCGCAACAGAAGGTGAGTTATGGACACCCTAATCCACTTCCCCGTCGGACACTAAACCTTTTACAATATGCCCGAGCAGCCACCGCCAGGGTCTTAATTTACGAGCCAGGGACAGGCCACTGGCCAGGTGGTGGTCCCACTTGGCTGCCGGGCTCCACATATTTTGGGTTAAGTGGTTTTTATAGCCAGCAGTTTGTTGCTTATCTTAGGAGAAGAAACAGGAGTCTTTAAAGGGAGGCTATCGGAAAATAGGTGTCAATTAGCAACAAAGTAAATTCCTTAAAGCTGATATAACTCTACCTTTAAGAAACCTTTAAGTATTACTGATTCGTGAATGCTTATAAATTCAAGACAACTATTAAAAACTCTCTCGAAAACTTTCGAATACTGTCATTGAATAATGGCGAAATATTTCCCGCAACTAACCCCCAAGGAAATTCCCTTTGAAAACTACCGAAGGTCGTCCGTGAAGTAAGCGAAAACAACAATGACTCGGTGGGGAATAGAAGTGCAACAGCATCATCTGCAGTTGCAGCAGAAGCGAAGAAACCAACATAATTTGAAAATCATTTAAGAAGAAATTTCTCTTTGGATGCCACGCCCCCGAAGAGCTGGGGCGCAGTAAGGGCAGCCGCAGCAGCTGCAGCAATATAAATTTTCCATTTGCGAATTTAATAAAAATAAGTTGCAGGCGGATCCAGCGCGAGACAGAAACCGCTAAGGATGCAGAGGATGTGCGCATCCTGCTGCCAGCTCGAAATGCAATAAACGGCCAAGTGTGTGCCTTCTTGGCGGAAGGGAAAGCCAGTCGGGGGTAGGGCTAGGGCCAGCACCAGACACATTACGGACAGGCGCCGCATGTGGGTGTTGTCTGGCCTAAACAAACAGGCCGGCAGCAGACGTAAAGCTGCCTGAAGCGACTCGAGAGGTGTAGTAAATACCCGCTAAAGTTTAACCTGCTCGGGGATAAGCGAGGGTTCACTAAACACTTTAGTTGTATTAAGAAAATATCAGTGGAAAATTGTATTTATCGAGGCTTATTTTTATATATATGCCCTAATTTATATTACATAAATCCTTTTCTATCTTTTCACCCTTAGACTGAGCTCAGCTATAGTGAACTATCTGCCCCGCTGGTGGGTAGTGCCGTGGGCGTTCAAAGAATGGCCCCCTATTGCAGCGCGACCTTGGGACGGCCGGGCAGACAGGCGGAACTGAAGCGGGCCGAGCCGAACATCTACTCGCAGGTAAATGTGATGATGGACGACGAGATACTGGCCGACCTGCAGGCGGCCACAGCCTCCGGCAGCAGCTATGTGGCCGGGGCCGTGGTCGACAATGTGGGTGGCGCCGCCAATCTCTACGTTCAAGGATACGCGACGCGGGTGTAGCCTTGGATTCGTTAGCCTATGATTTTGTTTATGATTTTGTTATTTATTTTTTGTTAAATAAATGTTATTTATTATCCTGCTTAAAGTTGAGTTGAGTTCTCGCTGTGTACTCGAGACCTGCACGTTTTAATTACATCTGTCGGTGGTACTGCCATAAAGAGCTGACCATATCAATAACCAGGTAGAAAAGAAAGCTTGCTGCACTGGCTGGCAAAATATTTGCTTTCCATTGTCCGGCCTTTCTGAACATTACTCATACGCAGCGTAGCACAAACAAAACGAGCTGCAAGCAAACAGACTACTGAAATCTCAGTTTACGCAAATCGGGTTTAAAGAGAGACGCAGGACGTGCCGACAGACGTGAAATAATGACCGAGGAATATCCTCGGTACAAGCTGCCAAGGTATTTGATGGGATTGGGCCAGAGAATTGAGTACCTGGAGCGGCTGAGCGCAGATTTTCAGAGAATCTGACTGTAAGAGGTACAGACTTGATAGATATCTCGAAAACGATGTAGCTGCCCATCTTGGCAAAGCATTTTTCAAATTTGTCTGGCCCTGGCAGACAAGTTATGCTTTCATTTTAGGGAACAATCCCCACTAGACATTGTTCGGGTCTTTTTGTTTATCGAACCTGCTTTCAGTTCCCTTAATAATTGAAATGACTTGAGTTACGACCAAGTGCGGGTGATTCTATGGACAGGCCCAAATGCACTTAAACAGCTCTCCGTTCGGTGGGAACACGGACTTTGGGAATACAGGCCAAAAACAACAATTACGGCCGCAGGAGCACAGTCCTGGCAACCATTTCACCTAATGACATTGTTTGGCTTTATTGTCGTTTATCGAAAAGTTTTACACGACATGCAGTTGGCTCTGGACTTCCTCTCTGCTCTGCTGGCAAAAAATTCTGGTCATTGATTTCAGTTTTTAGTTTGGCTATTATATTAATTCGATTCTCTATGGCTCTTGTTGGGGACCATATTGTTTTTTCTCTGTTCAGAATATTCCGAAACTCTGCTTTATAAGCCAAGTTGTGAGGTCATAAATACTAGACACACATAATTCTCTTCCCGAAGAGCACATTCAATATAATCAGACGATGTTCTACTTGTTTACTTATCCCTCCAGCCCATCAATTTTAATAGATATGGCGCTAAAAATTAATTTCATTAAAATCTCGTTGAGCGCGTTGAAGACAACAACGTAAATATGCCTCACCCAGGCACACACGTTAATTACGGAAATAAGCATATAAACATGCCGCACATACACACCCATTTAAGCCAACTCACAGCTACAAGGCCCACCCACGGGCCAATTATTGTAGTAGCTCACCGCATAGAGTCCAGGCCCGGCTTCTTGTTCGCCACCGTGGCTACCATGTTGGCTAAATAAACGCCGGGCGCGTTGTTAACTATCAGTAGCAGCGACACGAGGGGGAGAGTGCCGGCAGCGGTGGAACCGCAGAGCCAGCGATGGCTGCAATCTGCGCGGGCAACCACACTGGCATATAAACACACTGACTCTTCAGATGTACATATAGTATGGCGAGTTCAACATATAATTACACATACGCATATTAGTACGCTGTCGAGTAACTTGTTTACTTTGGCATTTCATATTGCATTAAGTACCATAAAACGCAAGTGATTCACAAGAGGTTACTACTAGAATTAAATGCAAATAAATAAATATGTGAAAAGGTGTAGTAGATGATGGATAGGAAGGCTTAACATTTAACATTTTTAAAATATGTGTTTATACAAAATTACAATTGCTTACACATGTGGGGCGGTGCTTTAAGTAATTTGTTACAATATTCACCTTAGTTTGAGACTCCGCGGACTTTTTTTTACACGCATTATTATCATTTAACCTTCCCTTTGATCAATTACTTTTGTTTTTAAACAACTAGACCCTCCAAACTCGCGACTAACTTGCAGCATATAAATCATCACATGACTAAAACCTCATTACCTACTCCTCTACCTGAACACCGCAGATCGATCTGGCCCATCATCCCATGCCCATGTACTCGACCAGCCCGATGTTTGGCACAAACACCACCATCACCGGAGTCACCATGTCACATCCATCACAATTGGCCACCTTCTCGCCGACGCCGCCGCCGCCCATCTTTGCCCATAGCGTGGTGACCACCGGCGATGGCCTCCTGCAGCCTGTGACGTGCATGGGACTGGTGGCAACATCTTCGGCAACGGCCTCGGGCCCAATGCCAATCCCCCAGCAGCAACAGCAACAGCAACAGCAGCAGCAACAGCAGCAGCTGACGGCGGCCAATGGCGGAAACGGAAGCATCGTCGGCATGGGCATGAGCCTTTATGGCAGCGATGTGGTAAGTGTCAGTTTGATGTACTCCCCAATTCCTGGAGTGGACGGGAACCGAGTCGCTGCTGCTGCTCCTTGTTGATAGCGCTCCGGTCGTCAAGGCAGCCTCGCCTAATGTCCAAAACGTTGAAAGCATCAATATGCAAAGTGGATTTTCAGGCAAGGATTTTTGGCATCGATGCAGCCAAAGGGGAACAGGATGGGGGTGGGGGAGGGAGAGCCGGCAGCAGGAAACATTTATCTTGGCCCCCCTCCGCCCCCTGCGGCCCGCCCGCATTCGTGGGCATCTTTTGTGCCCAATTTTGTTTTCGTTTTTCCCTTATAAATGGTAGCCGCTGGGGCGGAAAATGGGTTTTTGCGGTTGGCCTGATAACTGTTCAAGTGATTGCAGCCGCCGAAAGGGTATCCAAATGTTGAAAATTAAGAGCGGAAGCTGTTCGAGTTCAGATATTTAACAGCAAAAAAAGTGTACGCCTACAAGCAACTTAATTTTCGGGGACTCGAAAGAATCCTGCTTCCCCATTCCGGTGTTTCCCCTACATTAGCTCCCTGTTTTCAATCGATTAGGCCACCACCCAGTGCGTCATCGATCAACAGATGACTCAAAGGCGAACTCACTCTCGTGACAATGCAATTTTCTGGCCATCCATAACCCTTGATCCCCCCAACAGACAGCTTTAAACTCAGCGCGAGGAGCTTTTGCCGCCATTTCGAGGCGGTAAATGACCTCTGAATGTGCCGCAGGATAAAAAAAAAAATAAAATTAAGCTGCCGCCTGTCCTGCTCTTGCCGCTGGTGACTGTCATTCATTGTCTCTGCCAGCCGCCTTATAAATACGCCATTATGTATACTCTCGACGCAGAGCATTGCGTTCGCAGTGCCTGTCCTGTCCTAGTCGTTGTCCTGGCCAACAGGCTTCAGCCCCTGCATTGTCCCTGCTGATACTTGCTCCGTAAAAAGAATTACGTTTTTACAACAATTTCATGCCAAAAGGACACTGCGGTGTGGCAACTTTTGACTCTAATGATTGCAATTATTATGACCCAAATAAGAGGAAGAACGACAGAGCAGAAAAAAGACGAGCACAAGCACAAGGCAACATCATCATCAACAGCAGCAACTGAATTCACAATGTTTTATTCCCACTCTCTGCCGTGGCTGCCAGTTTTTTTGTTTGCGTTTTTGCGATGCCTTTTCTTGAGCTGCTCCTTTTGTCTGCCAGTGATGTCGGTTGTCCTTGTTTTTCCCGCTCGATTCCCAGCGGCGGCCCAGCCTGACACTGTTGGCCCAAGGGAGTTGGCCAAAACACAGCAAATGGCTCCGAGACTTGTTGGTTTCTTACTTTTGTTCTGTTCTTGCCTCGCCGCTGATGCCACTCTGCCAAAACCAAATATTACGCATACGCAACGTTTTTGCTCCTGACTCCTGGCGGGGAACGTGAATTCGTTATGGCTGCGAGTACTCAAATAATGTGCGGCTCATTAATTTTAAAGCAGCGCTATTTAGTGTCTTCCCTTGGCCAGGCAGGCTTGTTTAATTGTTCCCAATTCGTCGCCGAGAATTCCTCTCATCTGCTCCTTTTTTTATCGTTCTCAGGGCAAGCCACAGCTGCTGAAGACCGTTCCCGAGGAGCTGCACCATCAGCTGAACGGCGAGGATGTCCTGATCGCCCAGGATCGCAGTCTCGGAGTCGGAACACGCTTCTGACGCTAAGCTCGCGGCCAGGAGGAGGAACTAATCTGAAGTCAGAGCCAAACAGGAAATGCAAATCAAAAGAGCGTACTATGGAGAGCCAGAGAGAAATCGGGGAATAATTGGTAAACAAATTGACTATAAGTTGTATGTGATGAGGGCAGAGCAGGAAGCCAGCTAACTTGGAGTTGATTTTAAAGGAGCTGAGCTGCGCGGAAAGAGCAACCTTAGTTGGCACTTTTTTAAACAAATCAAAGAACATTATATGAGATGGGATGTAACCTGTAAAAAGATAACAATAAACCGTGCTTGCCAAGGATTCGAAGCGAATGCAAAGCTCGGCATTGAAATGAAATTCCACTAGGCCTAAGCAGACATGTGTAAATTATGGAATACAATTAACATGGATAGCTATAATTACGACTAACATTAAAGCGAGGACACTGAATTGTTAATATATTTTTAAACAACAGCTTTAAGCGCCAAAAGAGATGGAAAACTTTTAGCTATGTAAACGAATTCATAATTGTTGTTGACCTTAGTTCGAGTGACCTAACTCCCATTACCATTTAGCTTGTAACCTAGGCTTAACTACGGCATTTACCACATCTAAATCAAATTCATCTAGCTGTAAGCTCAAACTTAGCATAGTTCAAATTGTAATTAAAAATCATAAAGAATTTAAACCAACCCTAACCCTAAGCCAACTAAATAATGAACGATTAATAAACGACTCTAATTAGCAGGCCACGGTTTGCATTTTATACGTAAAGAAAAGGTATGAGAAGTGGAAATCCAAAGAGGTTGGCCGATTAACCCGGAAAACCCAGGAGAAAATGAACTCTAGCTTAAGACAGCTTAAGCATAAAATGAATAAAATAAAAGTCTAAGGAACTGCATGTAAAATATTTAACTGAATATTAGGCTAAAGTTAATAAATTAAATTTAATAAAATGTATGAAACAAGAACGAGAGGAGTGTTGATTTAAAAGGGAAGAAAACAGGGAAAGGCTTTAAAAATCAAGTTAAGTAAATGTATAAGGGAAAATTATTAATTAGCTAGAAAGATGAGTTATCTTTGTGTCCCCTCCCAGGGTCACTGATCTCGGCCCCACTAAATTAGGCCTTTTTGGAAGGTATCTAGAGCAAACATTAGCGGCCTAAAATGTAACAATGTTACACAGGAGCCCAGCGGCTGCTATGTGTTCGGCCCTGCCTTGTAGCAAACGGTAAATATTGACAGGCCGCGTGAGCAAACAATGACGGAAGCGGAAGTCAAGCCCTGCCACGCAGCCACCGCAGAGGAACAATAACAAAAACAGGCAACAATCTGCATTGAGTAGAGCAGCAGCAACATCAACTAACTGAAGCAGCAACATGGCCGATACAGCGCTCAAAAATTGTCAGGCCATGTAAATTTTGTATGCGAAAGCACTTAACACCGTTTTCGCTTAAGCAACGCAAACAGCGCCGGCCAAAGGAACTGAGTTAGATCGCTGTAGGCAGCATTTATGGACGGGGACCGAGAACGGAAGGCCTACTGCATGGCGAGCAAATTATGCAAATTTTGACCGCAGCACTGTCACCGTCACCGTTGCTGTCGCAGTCGATGACTTGTAAATTTTGGGCTCCGGGTAGACAGGAACCCGCAGCCAGGACTCTGTATCCTAGAGCACCTGTTTAGATTTCAAGATATGCCATGCCCATATAGGTGTGCTCAGATCAAATATTTGGGCCCGGCAGCCCCTCAAGGAGCTGCCTCCCCCAAATAGATTTCGAAATTGGAGTGGACCACATGTCAGGCCACAAAGCCGCAGGATATTTGGAAAGGGCCTGGTGGCAGCTGGCAGCCATTAACCCGCCAGATTGAAATCAATTAATCAAAATACACCGCATAAATTATAAATTAAACGCCGTGTTTATGCTCATTTCGTAGATGTGGCTGCCGCCGAGTCACTTCTAGACATCCCTTCCGGGGGGCGGCCATCAATCAGGCGGCGGCGGCAATAAAGCGGCCCAGAAGTCAGCCTGAAATTCATATTGCCAATGACAGGAAAACGGCATTCAATTGTATTCTAAATCATAAATAAATATTAAAAATCAATTTGAATGCGATTTCCCCCGCCACGAGCCCGTGCTGCACAAAGCGGAGAAATATAGTCGCAACATAAAATAAATAAACGGAATAAATATGAAAAGAAAATAGAAAAGCGCACAACAATGCAGAGGGCATTGACAGCGTGCTGCACTCTCAGTGGAATTTTTCATAAATGAAAAATATCCAGCATTAAGGAATGTTATAGAAATGAAAACCAAGCAATGCCGGCTAATATCGCAACGTTTTATTGACAACATTTAGATTTTCCTGTGGCAAGTATTTTCAATCATTCAGGCATTTTTCCAGCCCCTCGGTGAGTTCATTTATCGTCCAACGAATTTTTAGTTGTTTTCATTCCTCGTTGCTTTTTTTCCCTAAATTAAAAGTTTGCACACAAAGAGTTTTTATTACTCCGGAATGATAAATGATGGATGGATGAATCGGTTCGTCACAGAAGAATTCGTGTATTTATGCGACATTTGCTTTTAATTGATTGTTCGAAATGACAAACGACTTTCGGTCGCCGACGCGTTTGATTTATGCCCCGGACGAGCTAATAAAACTTTACTGCGGAGTTGTGCGAAAATTAAACGAAAATGCCCGGCAATTAAGCGAGTTCTTTTTCGGTGCAACACTTAAGCCGCCATTAATGCGGAGCTGCGCTGTGTTGTCTGTCAGCCGCTCGTGCACTGCAGTGGCCTGATTTATAAGCCAACACTTACAGCACAGCAGACAGGGATACAAGGATACAGATCCGGATGAGGATGAGCATGAGGACGTTGGACGAGAACGAGAAGGGGCAGGCGAATGCGAACGACGGGTACTGACCACAGCAACATTTTCTTACCACTGATTTATTTACATTTAAGCAATTTCGTCGCCATCGTTGTGAAGTTTCCAGACGGAAATTCGCAGCATTGCATCCGGAAATTGGCAACAAAAAGAGGGAGGATGGACTGACCCACCCTTTCCTCCCTTCGCCCATTCAGCGCCACCCAGGAGGCAGGGGCCCCACTTACTACCATTCGCGAGGGCCAGAGAAGATTAATGCCGGCGCTTTTATTGTTTGGTCAGTCGCGTGACCATTTCTGCAATTTATATCGTAAATAAAAGTGACGAAGAAAATAAAGAAAACTTTTGTGCCGAGACTGCGGGCAGGATGTAAATAAACCGCCTGAAAAGTGAACTCATCTTGGCCTTTGGAGGGCCGAGTGGTAAGATTAAGGCTTTGTACTACCAAAGAGGGTCAAATTGGTTTAAATGAATAATTATAAATAATAAAATAGAACAAAAACTCTTATAACTAAATTTAAAAAGCTATTCCTTAATGATTTGAGCAAATATGAACCCACTAAGCTATTTCTATTTTAGCCAATTTCAAAGATTTTACCTTAAAGAAATGTTTGCCATTCAAAATCAAGAATATGCCGTAACGATTTGATGGCGGAAACTCAATCCTGCTGTACTATTTATTTCTTGGCCAAAAACCCAATCGTATACAAATTTACCGACAATCCGCAATTCACCACATGAAACTGCGCCACTGGCAGCCACTAAGCCTTGGCCTATAATGTGTAACAAATCTAGGCAAATTTTTCTGGGGCAAACACAAGGCGACACCTTTGCAACATATACCCAAATCCTGGAATGGGTCGAAGAATAACGCAGTTTGAAGGTTAAATAAATTGCTGGATCCAAACATATGCCCCAGGGCCATAAATATTTGGGCTACGGAAGCTGGCAAACAAAAAAAGGGTTTAGCCTGAGGAGGGGCTGGGAGAAGGGGTAACAAATGCGTGTATCCATTTACATAGAAAGTACCTGGCGTCGCACATTTCCTGCCTTTCACCGGATCCAGCCGGATTCCCGCCTCCGGTTAATATGGCGGCGTCAAAACAACATTAAACACAAGGCCTGGTAACCGGGAGCCAGTCACCGGAAGTGTGTATATAAAATAACCCACGCCCGTGCGCACACACGCACTCTCGAACACGGTGCGTATACGCAATAAACATAAAAATTTTGAACAGCGACAGGCCGAGGACAGGAGGAAGGAGGCGGGGTGGCCGCCCGTCGCTCTGATTTCCCTTTTGGACGTTCCACCTTTTCGTTCTTTATGCGCTGGGCCCCCCCAGAGGTTGCAAATTATTTTTTTAGTACTTTATTCAATGCGCATTAGGCGCGCTCCCCGTCTGTTTTTTGTGCCCTGCAAATTTTGGCCATAAAATGAGTGAAAGGTGCGTGAGCCCGGGTCGGATTTGCAGACTTTTCGGTGAGAGTGCAGGCCAGAAAAAACTTAACACTTAATTTATGTTGAGTTTTTTACAGCCCAGCGTGTCTGCAATTATTATGAAATGGAGTTTCCCAGCGATTTGTCAGGCGGCACACGTGCGGAATAAGTTTAGCCCCAATGAAATGGCACAACTCTTTGACGCGAGTTTAGCAGCTGTAAATCCTTTTAACCATTAAAATTAATGCATTCCAATGCTAATGAGTTGTGCCAAATAGATGGGCAATCAGTATGCATTAGTGTTTGTTCAAGTTTTTGAAATACTTTGTCAACTAATTAAAATATTGAATGCCTAAGCCCTAATTGAGCGCTCTGTCCTCCCCTGACAGCTGGACCGCAGGCCACTGGTATTTATCTGTGGGCTGTTGGCCAGCGTCAAGTGGCTAATTGACAGAGTCCAGGCAGTGCATTCTCCTTTTTTTTTTTTGCCATTTTCATTATGTTGATTGAATGTTTTGTGCGCTCACTCATTGGACTATCAAAGTCCCTGCTAACCGAAATGCAAATTACATTTTTTGCCCGCCTGCAAACTAATAAACATAACATTTATGAATTTTATCAAATTTGCCATTTGTGCACGCTTGTAATTCGGTTTATTAAAAAGGGCTTCATGGATAATTAATAAATTGCGCATCATTTGCAAAATGCAACTGCCAGGATCATGCATGGCAAGATAGGAAAGGCTTTTCACTGTTTATTGCTGACCAGATGCCAGACCGCTGCGGTCGAGTTGGTAAATCGAAATGATTTCATTGACATTTATATGATTGCATTTAAATTTTAGTTTTAATTTATATTTAATTATGTTGCCTGGCCCCTTTAAAGGGAGGAGGGGGGGGATAATTAAACTGACAAAGAGCGTTGGCAAATTTATGCAAAACTTTTGCTGGGCGCTGAGAAGCTCGCAATTACAGCTGCCTGTGTTGCCTTAGTGTCGAGCGTCTATAATTACTCGGTGCGAAAATGTTTTTGCAATTATGAAACAAAAAACTGCACGAAGGATGAAAGTGAATTCCGTTTCTGAGAAAATTACACGGCGCGTGCTAAATTATATGACCCGAAAGTTGCCTCTCGCTGGGCGTGGAGAACTCTAATTGGTTTTTGATTTCGTCTTCTAAAAATTTTGCGACACTTGCAGCACCGTAAACTAAATTGCTTCAGGAGTTTTGCACATGCCTACAATTTGGGCAAAGTTTCCGGCAAATAACAAAATTAACCCCAAAGTGCCTGCCTGCCTGGCAGCCTGGCAGCCTGGCAGCCAGTCGAGTGTTAACTCCACTCCGCTCCAGAGTATGTGTGCTTTGTAAAGTTGACTACGCTAATATGTCACTTTGTCGTGGGCAAAGTTAACTTTGCTCTCACCTAACGCTCCATCTCCGTCTTCTTCTCTGTCTCCATCTCTGTCTCTATCACAGCCTCCATCTCTTTCAGCACTTTTGGTCCTGCACTCAACTCGGTTTTTAGCTTGCTGCATGCATGCATAAGTGTGTGTGAAACCAGAAACCAAGGCGGCCAAGAGCCGGAG